AATACCAAAACACAAAAAATGAGAACTATTCCCAAAGCTCAGTGTTTAACACCGGTTGCCACAACATCATCTGCAACCGTATCTGTAAGACATGTCAAAAAAAAAGAAGATATACGGCGGCAGTTATCCCTTCAGCAGGTTAATAAACCAAAATCACGAAGACAAACAAACGAAAATGTCAAACAATCTTCTCAATCATCAAAGAGATCAAAATATTCCATCTCGAATGATGATTGAATTTGTAGCACGTGCAATGGGCTATACTCACAAGATGTTAAGTTACAAAATGGAGCCGACTGGATAACATGCTCGTTCTGTACAAATCCTTATCACACCCATTGCCAAAGTCAAATTATAAGTGACAACCAAGAAATTTTTTATGTGTAATTGTTGTAGTATTGACGAGTCCAGTGGTGAAGAATAAAAAACAATTATAAAATCCAATATTGTTTTTTATTTTTCCCCACTTTTGATAGTTTCTCGTTGATTAATAAATACATAATTATTACTTTCAGTATGTTTATATTTTTCATTAATTTTATTTTTTGTTACTTTTGTGTTAAAAAATAATAAATACTCACTTAATTCGGTTATAACATAATTAGAGAAGTACTATCACCGAATTATGGTGTTTGTCGCAGAATCAGAAAAGTTATCGCGGTTTGATTAAGCTCATTGTACGCTGAGTTAATTCATATGTGTTAAGATTACACTTGCTTATATGATATATAGAAGACTGATTAATGTTCCTATTAAAAATAAAAATAAAATTTATAAAGTTTAACCTGTTTTTTTTCCACATTCTGTTTTGTCACAGAATTAGATGAGTTGATATAGCTAGAAATTAGCTCTCCGCGAGAAAGCGTCTATCGGCCTTGTACAGTAACTGACTGACTGAATTAACAGGAAGTTCCCAATGTAACCGAGAATAAATTTCTGTTAAAGCATAACAACAAATATATCGAAAGTACTCAAAAAATTGTGGATATCTTTGCGGAAAATTTTGAAATTGTGAACGGCAGATCCGGTAAGGGACGCCCTTGATGAAAGTTTGTCGACCAAATTGGCGATCTATTGAAAAGGGGCCAAATTAAGAGTACCCTTAAACGACGAGCATGTATGCGTAGGTAATATGGATGTGGAAGATGCGAGAGAGGTGTGTCAGGATCGTGCCAAATGGAAGTCTGTAGTCTCTGCCTACCCTTCTAGGTGAAAGGTGTGAGTACTTATGTATAAAATTTTGATCATGGCCTATCACCATCGACAGGTTCCTCAATCAATGAAGTTCCTTGAGCAAAATGTACAACCTTCCATAAATTATGTAAGTTGGGATCACTAGCACCTGCGAAAATAACTAAAGTAGTAAAAAGTATGGAAGACAAGAAGTCATGTGGTTGGGTTGACACACCAATTCCAGTCTCTGAGAAAAATATTAAGATCACCATTAGCGAGATTTTACAGGGAATGTTATGAAAAGGGCATTTTCCCTGGGTAATTAAAGATTGCAAAGGTATTACCTGTACATAAGAATGGTTCAAAAAATGATTCTAAAAACTACAGGCCCACGTCGCTTTTACCATCTATTTCAAAAATTTTTGAGACTGATTAAAATTATATTACCTAAACATCTACACAATAATAAAATAATAAATACACCACAATTTGGATACCAGCCAAATATAGGAAGTAACGGTGCGATAAATACATTAAATGAAAATATTGTTGCGCGCCTAAGTTGACGTCATGTACCCGGCACTAGCGCCATCTAGTGTCTATGTAACATATGGCAGTACAGCAGGTACACGCTCGACTGTGGACTGTCACAGTGAACTAGTGAAGCCGGCCACAGTCGCCATATGTTAGAGGAGTCATTGACAAGATTGGCTACATCTTGAAGCGTGCTTCCATCAAAACATACTTGCCGCTGCCGCTGCCGCCGCTGAAGAAGATTGGTCAGTTTTTACCATCAGTCAAGTGTAATGTCCCTCTGCAAGATGCAGGAGTGTACAAGCTTGATTGTGAATGTGGTCTCTCCTACATAGGACAAACTAAAAGATCAATAAAAACCCGCGTTAAAGAACATATAGCTGATGTGAAGAATCGACGCTCCGGGAAGTCTGCAGTCTGTGAACACGTACAGGATCACCCCAGTCACTACATCAGATTTGATAGACCACAAATCCTCGCTAAAGAACACCGATTCCTTCCAAGGATGATTCGCGAGGCTATTGAAATCAAAAAACATCCTAATTTCAATAGAGAAGATGGCTGGGTGCTACCATCTGCTTGGGATCCGATAATAAAGAAAATTACAACCCAACACAAGCATACAACTGTAAGACTTCAAGATACCATAAGTTCATACTGTATAGATCGGAACAAAATTTAAATTTTAATCTATGGTAACCGCGGTTAACTATGACATATGGACGTTGAACATCTCAGTCCCGCCCGTGACCATGAGTGCTGTAAAGCGTTCGAAACGTCGGGTATTTAAAAAGTTAAATATACGCGATAAAGTCCGTAAAAACTAGTATTATTTCAGTGTGAAATCATTATGTTATAATTTGTTACCTGCACATAGTTAGTGTTCTGGAAGGGTTGTCAGAGACAAGGCGAAGTTTACACAGCTGTCCAAAACCCTCTACAATAAGGGTTTCAAATATGACCAAGCCACCAATGTCGGCGAGGCCATCAAAATAATTCCGGCGTCTATAGAAGACTTCCGGAATATAACACGTCTCTTCACGGCCGAGCGTGTGTCCTATCACACATACGCTCTCGCCGAAGAAAGGAAAATCAAGGCGGTCCTCCGCGGAGTTCCTTATTTATGAACTCGAAAACGAGGACATTCTGGAAGACCTTAAGTCCCAAGGCTTCCCCATAGAGGATGTGCACAAGATGCACAGTAGCAGGGGCGGGAGATTTAACCTCACCCTCCTCGTTCTCACCAATGTGCCGGAGGCGAAGGCCATCTTCCGCGAGGTACGCACTGTGTGCGGCCTGTCGCGTGTAAAGGTCGAAGCCCCACATCGGCGCGGTTACCCAGCGCAGTGCCACCGCTGCAAACTCTATGGGCACGCGGCAGCCAACTGCTCAGCCCCACCCAGGTGCGTTAAGTGCCTAGAACTCCATCACTCGAAAGAGTGTCCTCGGCCCAAAAACGCCGAATCCCCACCCGCATGTGTCCTATGCAGACAAACAGCCCACCCGGCCAACTTTAGAAGCTGCCATCACGCTCCTCGCTGTCTTCTGAGCCACAAAGCTCTACCCCAGGTCAATGACCGAACTTTCCCGGCCCTTGGAAGCCACATGTCCCGCCAGGGCCAGTCCCTACCACAGCCCCCTCAGGGCTCATCATTTATTACAAAAAGTCCTTTCATTGCTCCCACATCCCTACTCCGACGCTTACCAGTATGGAAGCCACTATTACTAGATTAGCCATGACTGGACACCAGTCTATCATTATAGCCTCTTGCTATATCCCTAGCGGAACCTTCCACGTTAAGAGAGATTTCGAACCCATCCTTGCATTAGGCGACTCAGTCATTATGTTTGGAGATTTTAACTCCAAGCATACTGAATGGACCTGCCGCACTAATACTAGTAGTGGCAGGGTGCTGCTCAATATCACTGTCTCTCGACCTGACTGTCTACAGCCCCTCACTGTCACCCACTATCCCGACAACGTTAACTACGCTCCTGACGTGCTAGACTTTGCGCTAGTTAAAGGAGTCTCCCTTAACCTTAGAGCAATCGAGTCTCTCGATGATCTAGGATCCGACCACCGTCCTGTATCCCTCCTTCGTGGCCATCAGCCACCTCCAACTCCCACTTCCAAAACCTACACCAACTGGAAGGGCTTCAAGAAGTCTCTAGCCTCGGCTATAGACTCTCCGGACCCTCCTATAACCCTTTCTTCCGACGTCTTCGACAGTACGGGGAAAATAGACACCGCAGTCGCAAATCTCACCTCACTTACAACATCCCCTCTTAAAGAGAATGGAAAAGTCGTCCCGGTTGCTAAAACTAGTCTTCCCCTTGATATTAGCAACCTGCTCAAAGCCAATCACGGTCCCATCAGCCTCCTCAAGGCCATGGGCAAACTTTTCGAACGAGTTATTCTCGTGAGCATGAGGCGCCGTTTGTTTCCCACAGACGGCGACCCTCTTGTCATCCCTCAACAATTCGGGTTTCGAGCCACGTGCCACCAACAAGTTCACCGCATAGTGGAATATATCCTCAGCGGTTCTTATCCTCATCGTCAAAAATCCATCGCGGTCTTTTTCGACATTGCCAAGGCATTCGACAGAGTCTGGCACGAGGGCCTTATCTACAAAGTGTACGACTTAGGCTTCCCTGACTGTCTCATCCGCCTTGTAGCATCCTATTTGAAGGATCGTACCTTTCGCTTTAGATACGAAGGCACGCTATCCTCTACTCGTCAAATCAAAGCCGGTGTCCCTCAAGGCTCTGTGCTCAAGGCTAAGTTTGCTTAAAAATAGGACTTATTTTCTAAAAAAAATCGCCTAGTTTAACTGACTCTTAAAAAAAATTATACTACACTAGTATGGCAAGTAGCGTCAAAAGTTGGCGATAAGGATTCCAAAATGGTCCACTCGGTAAATTGTAGCTGCAATCGTGGACATTGTTGTTTTTTTTTTTTCGTAAAAACCCATTTTAACCTTCCGTGCACCATGTGGGGTCTAATAAACACCCAGCGAAATAAAAATTTCTGTAACTCTTTAAAATTCGCACGCTTGCTCTGATGCTTTAAGTAGCTGGAGTTGCGACGTTGCCAAACCGTCTAGTGACAGTGATTTAGTAAACGTGTCGCGGGCGCTGCGGACAGACGTATCCAAAGTGCTTCAGGGTCTCACAAACCCCACGTGGTTTGGGACGTCGTCTAAAACGTAAGTAGTATGTTTTTGTAGAATGCAGTAAAACTATATTATTTTCTACTTTTTGACAGTTTTTTTATGTTAACGTGTTATCAACAGGTGCCTTGGATTTGAAATGGCTCATCGAATAAGTGACAATGCAATAGCATCTGCTCTTTTGGAAGAAAGTGACGACGATTTGGACGAGCTCTTTTTACCTGGAAGCGAAGATGAATCGGATCATTTGAGTGTGAAGTCTGAATGTGAAAGTGAAGAAGAAGAAGAATAAATTACTTCGGGTGGTGAGTTTTCTAGTTCTCATAAGTTTTATACGGGTGAAGACTGCAAAACTACATGGCTAAAGGAACCGCTATATTCATACAAGAAATGAAAATATAATTACACATTTACCGGGAGTAAAGAGTCAATATAAAGATAAAAAAACCCATTTGGAATGTTTTGAAGCATTTATTTCCAATGAAATACTAGAGATAGTTGTAAAATATACCAATGTAAGAATATGCTTATCTAAACCACAGTCATCAGATGGCAAAAACATAAATGCGCTGTACTCTGAAACAACTAAATCTGAAATAAAAGCTGTTTTAGGGCTTTTATTTTTAGCTGGATTGTATCGATCTAGTAGACAAAACCTCAATGATTTATAGGCTCATGATGGTACAGGAATTGAAATGTTCCGTTGCACAATGTCGAAAAATCGGATCGGACAAGGGAAGAAAGAATAAAGACTCATCGATTGGCAACAATCCGAGATATTTTCGAGGTCTTTGTCCAAAGTTGTCGAAATGCGTATACACCTTTTGAATACCTAACACTAGATGAAGGGTTAGTTGCCTTTCGGGGTAGATGTGGTTTCCGCCAATATATTCCATCTAAACCTGCCAAATGTGGAATAAAAATATATGACTTAGTAGATGCAAAAACATATTACAACATGCATTTAGAGATTTACTGTGGTAAACACCCAGATAATAGTCCTTTCGCGGTCAGCAACAAACCCTATGACATCGTCGATCGTATGGTGAATTGCGTTTCTGGATCTTCAAGAAATATAACAATGGACAATTTTTTCCCCAGTTACGAAGCTACTGAAAATTTACTATTCAAACATAAAGTAACAGTAGTAGGTACCTTGAGAGCCAATAAAACTTGCATTTCACTGTGTTTCAAGCTAACACGAGAGGAACGTTCTTCAAGATTTGGTTTCCAAAAGGATATAACTCTGGTTTCTTATGTACCAAAGCCACGCAAACACGTATTCGTAATGTCGTCTCTACATCATGATCAAGAAATAGATGAGAATACCGGCAACCAGCAAAAACCATCCATAATTACATTCTACAATAAAACTAAAAGTGGAGTGGATGTGGTGGATAAACTCGCGAGGACATATGACGTGTCTCGTAACTCTAGGCGCTGGCCACTTACTGTATTTTTTTCGATGCTCAATCACGCGGGAATCAATGGTATGATCTAACACATGTTGAATAATTGTATTGAAACAGTAAAAACTAATCATAGAAGGAGATTTATTCGCGATTTAGGAATGTCTCTGATAGATGAGCATTTGAGAAACCGTAAAGACAATCCACGGATTCCGAAAGATTCTCGTAAACGCATATATGATTTATTTGGTGAAGCGCCTCAGGAGCCGCTAAAAAAATAGCAAGATCTAAAACAAGGTGTTCGGAATGCGACAGGAGAAAAGACCGAAAGACCAAGTACAGTTGTGAGAAATGTGTAGTACCTATATGCTTAGAGCACGCACATTTTTACTATAAAAACTGTAACCCAGGATCTCATGAAGACTGAATATATTAAGCCACTTCTTAATGTTTTTTATTTTTTATTACGTTGGCCTTTAAGATAAAGGATATAAAGGTTTTTCAAAAATATTTTTTATTAATATAGGCTATGCCAAAGAAGAGTATAATTTTTAGTTTGTGCAAAACTCACTTTTATGTTTTTTATATGTGGGATTTTGGAAGAACTCTTAACAAAATCGAGAATAATCAATATATTCTTTTAATTTCACTTTTTAACACCTTTTTTAGTTTAAGTCACGCACGCTTCCCTTCCTCGTTCCAAAAAAGAAAAGGCCACCTTCCTCCCTCTCTCTCTCTCACCTCACGTCCTCCTTCTCACACACTTACGTTCCGTTTCACTCCATTAACTTACGTTCCATTCCTACATTTCGGTCATCCTGCATCTCATATCTGCCCCAGATATGCTCTTCTCCCTCTTTCATCATTCATTCATCTTACACAATGTAAGACATTTAACATTAACATCTCTAGTGCCTAGAATCTTAACATTACAAAATAAACTTTAACCATTGCCATGTTTATTTTCTGTTGGAGTAAACAGTTAAACTATGCATATCCTGCATTATACATCAGAATAAGTAAACATTACATCTTTCATGGCACTTTAAAAAAAAATTAAACAATTACTGACACTAGTCAACAATGTAGATAGACTCTTTGCATTTCTACAACTTACTAAACACATGCAATACAAGTATGAGATAATATGACATAAGTAACAGCATAAAATAAAAAGCTCGCACACTTGCTGAAAGTTACGAAAACTTATTTGCATCTTTACCAAAACAAAAAGAAATTATACATCTTAGACTTAATATAACACTATAGTGCTCTGCGAGATCTGTTTATCTTTGACAATACAAAAAGAAATTACATAATAGTCTGAACCTTAAGATATTACATTATTACAGCTTTATGAGGTCTCGTAATACTACACTGAGGGTTCCACCTTAAAAATAATAAGTATCAAGTTTACCTAGTATTAATAATTCAGTCTCAAACTTTCACACCTTGAAACAACCAAAAAAAAATTATGAACAAATATTATTACCCAATACCTGTTTTACTCGCAGTCATCTTCTTCAGGCCATCTCTTCATGAAATCTGCAGATGTCGCTGTACTGTTCGGCCCCTCTGTGCCTTGATATAACTTCACAACATCGTATCGGTCGTTGCGTTTCACCTTGACTACCTTATAGGGTCCGAAGAATTTCGCTTTCAGCTTGAGCCCTGGCCCAAACTGTGTCCTTTTAATTGCGACGAGATCTCCCGCCTCATACTGAGAGCTCCGCTTCCTTTTCTTATTGTAGGTATTTCTATTTTCTTCCTGTATCTTTCGAATTTGGTCTCTGGCCTTCTGCCTTAAACTTTCTCTGCTTTCACTGTATTGCGCTATAGTTTGGACTAGCAAATTTAATATCTCTACATCCTCCTTGCAGTTCATCTTGGTTCCAATGAGCAGTTGGAACGGTGTGGTGTCTATGCTTCTCTGGTAAGTACTGTTGATTGCTCTTTGCACACGTCCAACATGTTTATACCATAGCGACTGGTCTTCGATGCACAGTTTCGTCAGCATGGGTATTATTATCCGATGAACCCGCTCTACTTGGCCATTTCCTCTTGGTATGCCGGTTGTAATGGTGACATGCTGTATACCTTCATCTTCGCAGTACTTCTTAAATGCTGCACTGGTAAAAGCTGTGCCTCTGTCTGTTATGATACGTACAGGGTTTCCAAACGTCTCTTGGTGCAACTGTAGCTTACTTATTACTTCTGCACTAGTTGTTGTTTTTGTGGGGTACAGCCACACAAATTTAGTAAATCCGTCAACTGCTGTGAGTATGTGATTGTACATTTTTCGTGTCTCAGTTAGCGGTCCGACGTGGTCCAGATGCAAAGTATGCAGCGGAGTCCCTTCTTTTCCAATAGGGTTTAAATATCCCTCCTGTTTGCCTTCTTTCCGGGTTGCTAGCAGACACGGTATGCAACTGGTAATCACTTCTTCAATTTTTCTGTCCATATTCTTTATAAAAAAGTCTTTGCTTATTGCTTCTTTCATTTTCTTCATAGCAACGTGACCATTGCTATGTACTTGCTTGATTACTTCTTTTTCCATTAGCTTGGGGACCACCAGTTGTCTCTGATCACCTTTGTAAAGCACTCCTTGTTCCACATAATAGTCATTATACTGGCCATCTGTCAAAATCAGCTGTTTTATCGCCTTGAGGTCTTCATCTCTTTCTTGCGCCTGGCTAATCTTCTCGTGCAATGTTACCACTGCAGCTACATATGGGATTCTGCTGAGCGCATCTGCGTGTGGCATCCTGCATCCCGCTCGATGTTCGATATCATAGTCATACTCGCTGAGAAGTAATACCCACCTGGCCACCTTTGGTGTTAGCTCCTTCTTCTTCAAGGTAAGCTGAAATGCCTCACAGTCTGTGACAATCTTAAAGTACCTGCCAAAGAGGTAGTGGTGAAACTTTTTCACGCCTTCTATTACTGCGAGTGCCTCAAGCTCATAGCTTGAATAACAACTTTCAATGTCATTCGTCCTTCTACTCCTGTAATGTACAGGGTGCATTTCTCCTTTTGCATTTTTCTGCATGAGAATAGAGGCTAGAGCTATGCTAGATGCATCTGAATGAAGTTCTGTGTGCAGCTTCTGGTCAAAAATCATCAGTACTGGTTCACTCGTTAGCTTCTGCTTCAAAATGTTGAACGCTTGTCGCTCTTCAGGCCCGAAAACAAACTTCACATCTTTCCTCATCAAATCTGTTAGCGGCCTTGCTATCTGTGCATAGCCTCTTATGTACTTTCTAAAATAGGAAGTCAGCCCGACAAAACTTTGGATCTGTTTGACATTCACAGGCTCGGGGTATTGTGCGACTGCTTCAATCTTATCCGGACTGGGTTGTACCTGCCAGTCTTTGACCAGATGTCCCAAGTATTTAATCTCGTGGTGTATCAGCCTCGCCTTCTTCCAGTTGATTTCAAGTCCATACTCAGCAGCCACCTCCAGCACTCGTCTTAATTTCTGTACAGCATCTTCCTCCGTCTGCGCTGGAATAACAATATCGTCTATGAATATCATCATAACACCTTCTTGTATCAATTCCCTAAATATGATGGTGATGAACCTCATGAAGTACTTCGGCGATACGGAGAGACCAAATGGTGCTCTAAGAAATTCCCACTGCCCATGATGCGTGACAAACGATGTGAAGGGTATGGACTCCTTGCTCATTCTTAAATGGAAGAAACCATTTTTAAGATCTAGGACACTGAACACCTTAGCATCTTTCAACTTATCAATTAGGTCCTCGATCAATGGTAAGGGAAATTCATCCTTAACCATCTTCTTATTCAACTGCCTATAGTCAATGCATACTCTAGCTGAACCATCTTTTTTCTTTACAAGGACTACAGGGCTAGTATATTC